TTGAAGATGTCCGGGCTTCAACTCCCAGTTCAAAGATTCCTTTGAACTCATCCGGACTTCTTAAGTCAAGTGTTTCTCAACCTTGGCAACTTGAAGATGTCCGAGCTTCAACTCCCAGTTCAAAGATTCCTTTGAACTCATCCGGACTTCTTAAGTCAAGTGTTTCTCAACCTTGGCAACTTGAAGATGTCCGGACTTCAACTTCCAGAATACCCCAGCCAGCGAATGCTGGCTGGGGAATTCTGGGAGTTGAAGTCCGCAAGTCTTAAAGCTGTCAAGTTTGAACACACCTGGGGTTTTTTTTTCTAAAGGTTTATGGATGCAGGAGTCTTGTAATTGACAGCTTTAAGACTTGCATGCTTCAAATGCCAGAGTTTCTGAGCCAACATTTTGGTTGCTAAGTAAGAGCATTGTTAAGTGAGTTTCACCACATTTTACAAGTTGGCCATGCCCGCCCAGTCACATGACTGCCAAAGCACTCCCACCCAATCACATGGCTGGCAAGCCACTCCCACCCAGTCACATGGCCGGCAAGCCACTCCCACAAAGCACGCCACACCTACAGAAGAGGTTCTAAAAAATTTTGAAATCCACCACTGGACCACTCATTCAATAACTATTCAAAGTTGCAAAGACGTTGAATAAATGGTACTTGGCTGTTTCATTTCCCCACCCCGATGGTCACGTAATTGCAAAGTGGAAGCTTGGCAACTAGCTCATATGTACACTAACAACTGTTGCAGTGCTCCAGGGCCACATGATTACCATTTTCAACCTTCCTTGCCAACTTTTCACAAGCACAGAGTCTCTCTCCTAGGATGTTCTTGGATGAGAATCGAAACATCTTCAAGGACAATAGCAAAGTCCAGTTGCCTTTTGAAAAAAGCACCTTTAGGACAAATAAATATAAAATACTTTTTTTTACTATATTGTTCTTTGTTCGTCTGTATAGTTTTCTTTCTTTTCTGTTATTGTATTTATACTTTTCTGTTCATATTTGATGCCTCATCTGCTCTTTTTACCCAAATAGTAAGTTTACTTTACAGACTAAGCCTATTTCTAATAGCAGCATTGGGAAGGCCAATTCTGGGAGTTTATTCTCCAAGTTAGTTCTGTTTCTCCTCACTTCTCAGGACAAGGTTCATTTATGATGGTTTCAATTCTAGAAAAACATGTTGTATGCTAACAGAATCAGTGTTGCTTGTACTTAGAAATAAACTCTGTTTAAATTAGAAAGATATTTCCACCGAAATGTTAGTAACCAGCTTGAGTTATGTACAAAAGAATGTAATGTTTATTTATGGTCATTGACCAGAATTGCAAACAAAAACACATTAAAAATAAAGTAAAAGAAAATAAGATAAAAATGCCTACAACATTTTTGTGGTGGAAGCTTTATGTTAAACTTATAATGAACTGCATTTACCTCTTTTTTCACCCTAATTTAATTGAGGTTGATATCTTTCTCTAATAGTATGGGCCTTCCTGGGCAATAGCACACGAATTATCCCAAAGCTTGGCTCAGAATCTAGGAATACAGTGGGAACCAGCATCCAGAAAACCAAGTATGTGCTACATGTTATCAAACTAAATGTTTGTATAGTTTTATATTCTCTAAATAGAGATAACTATTTTATTGTCTAAGAATCTTTTAAGTCAATTTAAGCAACTAGATTTCTCTGCCCAGGTAACATTTTTGGTCATACATGCTCATGGACATAATTTACCTACTTAGTCACTAGAAGTCAAAAATAATTTGAAGGTACATAATCACTTAATCAATCATGCATGTCTATGTATTCACACACAAACACATGTATGTATATGAGTGTGTGTGTGTGTGTGTGTATGTATGTATATATATATATATATATATATATATATATATATATATATATGTGTGTGTGTGTGTGTGTGTGTGTGTGTGTGTGTGTGTGTGTGTGTGTGTATGTATATATGTATATGTATATATGTATGCATGCATAGCCTATGT